GAGTTTCCGGTTTCTGAACCTAGCATATAGAGGAAACAGAGCAGGGATTTCTACCGGTAGAATTGGGAGCTTAAATAGTTAGTAGTAATGTAGATTGTATGTCCACTGAGGATGTATGAATTTGTGCATCACTGTAATTATGCATTTATGGTTGAAGGTTTCTATATGACATTGAGTAATAGGTTGTGATAGTTTCTTTTCTGTGTGTGCGACTGATTTGGAATGAGATTCTAGTATTCGGCTGATTGAACTGTTTGAGACTACGCCGCTAGAAAAAAAAAAAAAATTGAGTGTTACAATCTAAGACCTCCCAAAGTTCAACTTGCAACACAAAGCAGCCACTAATTTTCCTACTAAAACTTCCCAAGTACCCTCCATCCTCGTCTCTAATTAGGCCATCACATTAGGAAAGATTCATGTTAGCACGATGGGTTCTATCAGTGTTCATTTTAACCCAACCCGAGGGGGGTGTCTGCCATCTAATAAGCTCTCGAAATCTTCGAGTAATATCTGGAAAAACAAATTTATTTATAGTGTTAGTCATAAAAGTATAATTAATCATAAGAAAAATTTTCTCAACTAGATCATCAACACTACTAACAATCCCCTGGAAAGTAAAATTATTCATGTGATTCCAAAGTTTCTAACATGTTAGACCAAAAATCACACTCCAATCTTGGAAATTCTCTCACCAAGACCAACTATTTTTGAGATTCATTATGAACCAATCATTCATAGTATCCCTGAAAAAGGATATTTGAGTTTCTTAAGGAATGATTTTCGACCAAAGTAGCCTTGCTTTACTGCACCCCCGGAGAACATGATCAACATCGTCAATAGTATCGTCATACATGTAACTCGTATTAGATGTCATATGTTACTGGTGCCTCTCTCAATTTGTCAAAAGCTTTTCTTTCACTAGTAACTAAAGGAAAGTACACACACACACACACACTAAGCTCTTGGCCTATGCCAAATGACATTTCAATTCTTATCTTTCGGGTTCCAATGATCACTCTATAGAAGAGCATAAGTAGAATTAACTGAGAACTCTTTTGAACTCGTCATGCCCCAATAGTAAAAGTCAAAAAGATTATCTTTATTAGGAATTTGCACTACTGCCATTTGGAGAAGAATACTCGTTGGTAACAAATGGTGGAGAGCACTCTAATTCTACTGGCCAGTCGGGGCAACAAAGTCAATAACACATTTTTGTAGCTCATGCTCGTCAATAGGCGTGTATACCAATAACTTAAGAGGTCCAACATCATCATTAATAGGAGTGTATACCAATAACCTAGGAGGTCCCGAGTCTAACATTTCTCCTTGAGCCAATGGACCATTTGCATTTAAAATATGTCCAAAGATGGTTAAGATTATGCCAAATGTAAGAGGCAGACTCATTCAAATTGTAATTCCACGACTATCCTTATTATTTATACTTATGAATGAAAACTTGAACCTATAAAAGATTAGGCTCAGAGAATATTGTAAAATCATATTTCATTAGAAATACTTTATTTTGATTACAAATTGAGCGAAGTCCACTTCCTTTAGCATCACAAGGTATGCACATTTCCTCCCAATTAACTAGGCTAATTTTCTTGTTGCCATTTACATTGCCCCAAACAAAACTCCTGACCACAACTTCAATTTTATCACATAAGACAATCTAGCTATATGTACATATATATAGTATATATATATTATATTTGTAAGCCAATCTAGCTAGATATTAATGCTTGTTAGAATCCAGAACTTGTTGTTATAATTATTTTCTATGTTCAATTTTTGTTGACCCGAATTTTCTCCTTTTTTCAGGTTAAACTCATTACATGGGAGCAATATCATATATGGTTAACAGCATTAACAACTTATTGATGTGTGAATAATGAATTGCAAGTAGCCATGTACTGGTTTCATCCCTCTGATTAGCATCAGTTTGTTATTGAGAGTATAACTAAATCTTTGTTAATTCTGGATCTTGCATGTTCCCACGGAGTCAGATAAAAGGAAGTTATGAATATATATTATACATATTGTTGGAATACTTAATTCATATTCTTTCTTTCAGAGTGAAGAGTGGAGGGCAAAGGAAGAAGAAAAATAAAAAAGAAAAAACGGCAATAAAAAAATATGTATACATTCATTCATATATACATATATGTGGCGGCAAGATTGCTGCCTTATATACATGGCAAGGCGGCAATCTTGCGGTCTTATATTATATATATGTATGTGGTGGCAACCATGAGGACCAACTCATGGTTGCCCATAAATATGGCCTCTGGGCAAGTAAGATATTATTTGTGGGGAAGAAGGAGAATTCAGGTTAAGTGATTAGTTTTAAGAAGTTGACCATAACGAGTTTGGAGTATAAAATTTTGTTTAAGTATTATAAATTTATCTTTTCTTAATTAATAAAATTTTTGAATATTTATTTTACCATCAATATTTTTGATAATTATAATAAACTTAAATTGCTAATATATATGAATAATATGTTGGAGAGACAACTAAAACCCAAGAGTCTTCCATTTCCCACAAAAATAAGATGCAAGTTAAAAGGATAAATATGGTACGTGCATAATTTTATTTTATATTGTATTATAATAAACTAAGGTTAGGCTCTGATAAAAATCAAAACAGAAGAACAATTGTCTTTCTCGATTATAACCTATACATAAACATGTATTCACGAAAGGAATCATTGAGAATATTGTAATTATAAAAGAATTTCTATCTCGAATCCCCCCCCCCCTCCCCCCGGACTCTTTCTCGATTTTCTTTCTCTCTCTTTTAGATCCGAGTCATGGACCAGGCTAATGACATCATCCACAAGTATTGACTAGTAATTACCACTCAGAAATTGATTCATTCCACCGTTTCAGGATTCATAGCTGCATATATGTATATTGAGCATCACAAATAAACGCATTGTTGAGCATCAAGCAGATACTGTCTTCACCCAGCTTGCTTTTTTTTCTCCTTACTTCAAACTCTTTTATGTAAAACTATATGAGCTCCAGATTGGGGTTGAAGAGTAACAGAGGGGTATGGAGCATGAGAATACGATGGAGAAAGTTCAAACCAGAAGCGTTGAAGGATGATGGACAAAGAAAATTTAGCCTGTAACATTCCAAAATTCTTGCCAATGCAAGTTCTAGGACCCCAACTAAAGGGAAAATATGAAACTTGACCCTTGGTTGCTTCTGCTACTCCTGAAGAGAATCTTTCAGGTTTGAACTCATTAACATCATCACCCCAAAGATCTTGATCATGTTGAACCATTGTTATGGGTAGCCTGATCATCACCCCTCCTGGGAGTTTCCATTTTCCTAATCTTGTTTCTTGGTAAATCATTCTGTAAGTTTCCACTGCAGGAGGATATAGTCTAGAAACCTCATGAAGAATCATAGTCACCTGCAACAAGCAAATATATTCAGATCATCTTCTGTAAGTATGGATATTCATGTAAAATTTAAAAATTGTATATACCGAGAAGTATTTGACGGAAAGGTTGATAGTATTAAGGTATTGAAAAGATAAAAATTTTACTATTATTCTTAGAGTAGCAGGTGTATATATATGCAATCATTATTGCCAAGAGTAATAATAATGGAGTAAAAATTGAGGTTTCATCTTGGGTACAAAATCAAACTAATAATTAAATGAAACTAAACTAATAATTAAATAAGAATCTGTTTACTAATCAACCATGATTAGTAAATATTATATTTGGGATTGCGACTAATGCAGAATGTTGACTAATTAACTTTGATTGAGCCAAATTATGTGGGATTGGAGTTAATAATCTATTAGGTACATTTCTTTATCTAAAACAATTGTGAGTTTAAGTTTTATTATATTTCGTTCTATATTTTTATTAAATTTAGTGTATATATGTTATCTAATTAATGAAATATATGTATTAAAAAAAAAAAAAAAAAGATATGTAACTCACAATTTTGAGGCGGCTGAGCCCATCAAAATCTGGTTTCTTGTTGCCAAAAACCTGCAAAACCTCCTCTCTTGCTTTGGTTTGCCAATCTTGATGCATGCTCAACAAAACCATTGTCCATGTTACCAGCACAGAACTTGCATTCTCCCCAGCCAAGTAGAAAGCTTTGCACTCATCAATAAGCTCAGGTACCGTGAGTCCAGCCGTCTTTCCATTTTCTTCGATTTCTTTCGAGTTCAATGTCATGTAGAAACCCAGTAAGTCATCGAAGGTCTCTCCTCTCTTCATTTCCTTTTCTCTCTTCTCAATGATGTCTTTAAGCATTGCTGACATCTCTTTTTCTGTTTGTTTCAATCTTCTATTGAACTTGGTTGGTAAGTACCTATACACAAAATATCATTTTCCCTTCAATGTTAGTTAAGGAACGTGTAACTCTCTTGTATCATCGTTAGTATGTTATGTTATGAGTGATGTATGTGTATACTAATTAATTACAAAATGTATATTACCAAGAAAAGGTTAAGAAACTGGTAGCTTAAGACAAATTAAAGAAGAAAAAACTAAGTCTCTGATACATATAATATAGTTACCTGGATCCTGGGATGTAAAGTGATTTCATAGCTAAAAGTGAAAGCTCAACTTGTTCTTGTTGGAGAATGAATATCTTTTTGCCTTCTTGATAGCCATTGCCAAATGCTGCTCGAGCAATCATGTCAGAGAATAAGTCATGACAATAAGTCCATATATCAACTTCCATCGATCCTTTTTCTGAGATTACAACCTCCCATTCTCTAATCATCTCATTACAACTTTCCTCGAAAGCAGGTAACATAAGCTACAATATAATTAAATAAAATGATAAAAAAGACAGAATACAAAAAAGCAAGTATTATATATATATGTATATAAAGAAAGTATAAATTACCTTTAATTTATCAAAACGATAAGCTGGGTCCAAAAGACTTCTATGTTTAGTCCATTTCTGACCCTCGTGTCGAACAAGTCCACTCACCAGAGCTTCAGTTTGAGATATCAGTTTTGGCTTAGGGAAGTCATAGACTCTATTCAGAATTTCTTTAATCATGTCTGGATCCATGAGATTTATCACCGGATATGGACCTATCCAAGTAAACGAATTCTTACCTGCATGCATGTTAGTAATTTTTATATATTTATACATATGTTGTAAACTAATTACATAAAGAATATATATATATATATATATATATGTATATATACCGTAGTTTCTCATAACGTGGTGTTGAAAGGGTAAGACACGCGGGACAATATCATGGGAAAGCTGCATGGGTTTGGAC